AATGGCATCTATACCACTCAATCGTTGCACTTGGTCTAAATGCTCCACATTTCCAATCTCATGACCAACACCCCAAGGTACTACCGACATATTAACTTATTACGCTAAGGCTATGCCCCTTCACCTTGGTCACACTAATGGTCCAACACCACCTACATCACAGTCCTGTCTCTCAAAGACTAAGCCATCTATTTATGAGTGATCATCGTAGATCCACTCCTTAGCATCCTTAGGATGCCTACGGATATGGGGAATAGCCTTCCCAAATATCACTTTTTCGGTCCCCACTAAATCCCTTTTTGTCCATGGCCGTGTTCGCCAACACTACCACTGGATCAAAACCTACAGCCCGACCATTAAGTCTCACTGTCCTCTAGGACTTCCTCACCATGTGACTGTATCCTTAGTCGCCACACTAAAGGACTACTCCTCTTCCTTTCCACAGTTCAGGATTACTTTGTCTCAGCTTCGGACTCGGTCTTAGTCTTGGCCTCGGTCTTGGTCTCGGTCTTGGTCTCGGTCTCGGTCTCAATCTCGGTTCCATTTCGGACTCCATCTCAGGTTCATCTCGGACCCCATCTCGAACTCCATTTCGGGTCCATTTCAGACTCCATCTCGAGTCCATCTTAGACTCCATCTCAAACTCCATCTTGGGTCCATCTCGGAGTCCATCTTGGGTTAATCTCGGACTCCATCTCAGGTCTATCTCGGACTCCATCTTGAACACTTCTACGTGTCATGTGTTGGTTCTTTTCTGTCCCTTTTCTAAAGACTCACTTATTGCTCACTTCGTGCTTCTTCTTTGAGCCCTTCATTGGGAGTTCCACTCCCACTCTCGACTTTTCGAGTCGGAGATTTTAGTCCAAACGTGTTACACTCATTTGGCTTTTGCTTCAGCCACTACCATGTGGCACCCTTTCAGCTCCATGTTGAGACTTAGGGATTTGTGTCTCACACTAGGATGGAGAAGTGAAATTTGCACAACCAATATCTATACCACTCAGCCTATACACTTGGTTTGCATGCTCCACATATCCGACTTTATAATAGACACTTTAAAAATACCACTAACACATTAGCCCATTATACTAAAGCTATGTCTATTTACATTTGTGTCATTAGTAGCCAAGACAACTTGTGCCACAATCCTGTCTTCTGAAGACTAGGCCATCTATCCATGAGTGGTCATTCCATAACCACATTTTAGCATCCTTAGGATGCCCAAAGATATAAAAAACACCCTTTCCCAATATCCCTTCTCCAGTCCCCACTAAATTCCACTTCATTTATAGTAATGCTCACCAACATTGCCACTGAGTTAGGATCCAAAAGTTTAATTTGCCAACTTACCACGTCTATCCAACCACCACTACCTTAACCTTAGTTAAGTTCTTTTACCAAGGTTCCCGTTTATTGTACTAGCTTATACTTGGTTTACTTAGTTTCAACTACTCATTACAAGAGCAACGAAGTGTTAAGCTATCCATCCACGAATTCCCAAATTCTTTCTCAATCCCCCTCCCTATGTTAGATTGGACTTAAAGTTTAACTACACTCACCGCAAATACAAGCAGTTGAACACACCAAGTTTCCAGGTTCCTAATATCCCATGGTACAATAAAACTTAATTATGGGACTCTTTAACTCCCAAGCCTTAGATACATCTCTTACTTCAGGACCATGGAGGGAAACACTATAACTTAATAACTTAGTATAAATACCCTTACTCTTCCATTTCCATCCCAAAGAGAAGGCTTAAGCCCCTAGGAAGGAGTGAGGACTAATAAATTACATAGTACTCAAGTAGAGCACCACTCCATATGAGCTAGAAGTACTGTAGTTGATTCCCTTTTTGGGAGTGGGAGCTGCTTTTGAGCACTTCCTTAGATGGCATTTTTGGCAAGTCCACACTCACTCCCATTTAAGGCTTTTAACCCCAATCCCATTTTCAACTCAATTTGGAAGCACCACTAAAGAGTCCCTTCAAGATTAGTTCTTAAACCTCACTATCCTTATTATATTTTTAGAACCCTTTGCAACCCTTTCCCCTAGGAGATGATTGCTTTGGGCTTTTACCTTACGATTTGTATTAGTATTTGGATTCAATCTCAAACTTAATCTTGGATTTGATCTTAGACTTAACCTCAGACTCGGTCTCAAACTCGATCTCAGACTCAACATCGGGCCCAACCTCGAACTCGGTCTTGGACTTGATCTCAAGTCTTGAACCCAATCTCGGATCTCAAACTTAGTTTTGAACTTGGTCTTGGACTCAATCTTGAACTCAGTTTCAGAGTTATGATCTTGAACTTAGTCTCGGAATCGGTCTTAGACTCAATTTCAGACTTAGTCTCATCTAATAAACTCTTTATCATTTTAATTGTGATTTCAAATATCCTTTAACCTATGACACCTCAGGGAGTTAATTCCTTACAACTTCACCACCCATAAAAGAAGTTCAATGTCTACAGGAACTTGGAGAGTTTTATGTTCTAGTTGCAACTTATAGCCTTTAACCCATAATTTCCACTCCTTCAACTTGTTTTTTAGTCAATCTTGGTCCTCCATAGTACCCTTTGAGTACCTCTTAATTTTAAAATGCTTTCTGACACTCTTTTTCAAATGTTTGACCACTTCCTTTATGACATAAGACTTTTAACTATTTGCAGAACAATCAAATGACTTTTTCTAACTCCCTTTTCATCTTCCCTACTTGTGTATTGGGTAGTAGTGCTAATCCCTTAGTAGAGCTCTACCCTTGACACTCTCTGCATACCAATCAATCCACCACTAAACAAAAACCTTAATCACAATTTTTTCATGAAGTCCTTATATCAGTAGCTCCAAAGTTGCTGCAAAAGTACCCCTATGTGAAATATGGGGGCAAGGAAGTTCCCCATAGCTCCTTTTACTGTCATTAGAACCCTGCACCCTCTAGGAAGAGGAGGCTAGATGCTTCAATAGAGAATGTTATTTATAAGTGTGTGTTTTGCTTGGTGGACTACCTTGCTGGCCATGCTGCACAATATCAAGATTTTTGCACCACAATAGAGCAAGTAATATATTAACTAGTGGTCATTAAGCAATGCATATGCATTGGTGAGCTTATTGAAACAGATGGATTCACAAATAGAGCCACTTTAAGAGGTTCCAAGGCAGGTAAATAGAAGTAAGGGAAATTGCATAATTGAAAACACGCTCTAGTCAAGGATTTTAGAGCATGTTTCCCTAATGGATTTGAACCATACTTTTGAGACTTTCAAGGATGATATGCTTTGCTTCTTTTTTACTCTTCCAGATGATAAGCATGGCTTCGCTTATTGCAGAAGTAAAGGATTGGAATGGAGAGCTTGGTGGATAGAAAAATCCATCAACATCATATGACAAGAATAAAAGGACAAAATGAATAAATTGAAAGCAAAATTATACATTTTTATTAAACATTAAGCTAACCTATATGTATTATGTATTGGCAAGTTTTATCTCATTAGCATAAGTAGAATGTCAAGTTCCCATTATGAACAATGATGGCAAAAATATATTACAATAAATACTAAAGACTAAAGCAAACAAAGTAAGAAAATTATATATAACTGGAGTATACAAATGTAAACTAGCCTCAAAAGATCAACAGATTGAAAGATGCTAAAGCCCATCAGATGCATTCAGGAATGTGTTTTACAGGATGGTAAGTATTCCATAGCTTTCCAATAAGCCCAAAAGACAGTTCACGATGAAATTTTTAACCGAGACTGGATAGCATATATTTAAAATATCCTAGTATATTCTAGGATATTTCTCATGCTCTTAATCATTTGCAATCATTGTTTGATGATGATAAAAACCATAATTCCTTGCCATGCAGATAGATATGTTCCCAAGCTGGAGATCGATGCTCCACGACCTCCTGGACAATACCAAGGAGTCAGCGCTATGCGGCCATAGTGAGAGGGTAGCAATTTTCAACTCACCAAACAAACAACGCGCATGAATGAACTGTGAAGAAGGTGTGAGGTGTTTGCTGTAAATTTGCTTATCGGCCGTTGAGTTGGGTGTGTGCAGGAGATGTTAGGGTATTGCGCTCGGCTCAGGGAGTTCATTGTGGCGTAAATGGGAGGCAATTACCAATTACAAGCTGTTTATAAAGGTCACAGGACTGATTTGATTGTGTATCTTGAGTGGTGAAGGTAATATTCTTCAGCTGAAGAACGCAAGGAAGCAAGGTGAAAACAACGATGCAGAGGTGGGTTTGAGTTCAAATTTCTTCAGAAGGTGGTCACAGAGGTTTGTTCTTGTGATGAGGAACTCATATAGGCAAAAAGTCATGCATTTGTGCATGGGATCTTGATCTCAAGCAATCATGCTTAAAGTTCTTTTCAAGCTCAAGGACAGAAATGCATTGCTTTTTCGAGCGTGTCCTTTTGTTGGTGTGAGGAATGTGATTATCAGCAGCATTCACATGCACTCCATCCCTGGCGGCTACTACCATTATCACGACCATTAGGATTTGTCAATCAATCTTTCAATGTTCTTGTCAACAGAATTTCTAACAGCATTCTCCAGATTTGAAACGCAAAGCGTTGCTGCTACACAGCGTAGCAAATCATCAAGTGATCCTTAGGAGTTAAAACTTATGTGGTGTGATTTAGAGTAGCAGAGCTCGATCCACTGGCCCAAGCACTCTCAGAGTGTTAGATTTCTTTTGGTTTTCTTTTGGTTCCCAGTGTTCTGGAGCGTGGAGCGAAGAGCAACAGGGAGCTGGAGCGAGGAGCAACAAGCAAGTTTCTCTTGTCTCCAGCTCTTGCTTGGAGCCTGGATCGACTCGAGGCAGCACGGTGCCCAGGTATTTGTCATCGACTTCTGCGCGGACGCCGGTGCCAAAGATGAGAATGTAGGCCAGAGATCGTTGCCCGTGTCAGCTTTGTATACTCCAGTCCGGAGGAGGTGGTGGAGCTCAAGATCTCCAAAGGCAAAGTACTGGTTTTTACTTGGCACATTAACTTAGGGCTTTAGGTGATGGGAGACGCTCGAGGATGGCGGCGGGACGATTTCAAGGCATCGGTTCTTGCGGAGAGGTGCCTGAGGACGCGCATTGTGTTTGCGCTCCGGTTCCCGCCGACATTGGAGCTGGCGCCGCCTCCCCCGCGCTTCTTGGCCGCCGCGACGAGCGATGGCAGCGTTGGGATTCATCCCATTTGCCGATCTCCTCCTGTAAGTCTTCGCATTATTTCTCTTTGGTGATCGCCTCCAGTTTTCTTTCTTGTCCTGGTAGATCTCGGGCATAGCGGAGACCACTGACGAGTAAGAATCTTCGATGGCTCAAGTTCCTAAGGAGAAAATACTCTTTTTCCTTTTTCCAGATTGGCAAAACCATGGTTGTCGCTCGCTGGACACGATGGCCCGGCGTATGGTTTGCTGTCATTTGGAGAAGATGGAAACAAAGTTCTTGCGAGGTAAGCGATTAATTGTAAGAACTTTCGAATGGTATGACCAAAACAATTGTCGTAGTTGTGGGGATGACGGACGGATAGCGATCTGGCGATGGAACGACGTTTTGGAAAGATTGGGCAGTGATTCAAGCTCGGGTTTGAAAGCTTTTTTCTTTTTTCTCTCTTTTTTTCTCATTGTGGCCTCATTAGATATGCAAGAGCGGCCTGTTTTGGAGATGAAAATTCCTCAGCAGAGGTAAGTTTTTAGCTCCCGATCTTCTCCACTGCGATGTTTGCAGGGGTCAGCATGGTTCTCTTCTACCCGTTGCCGAAGCCAATGGTCTCGCAGCAGATGTAATATTACGTAGAACTCTCCGCAAAAATTTTATTTCTTCTACTTACGTTTATTTTCTCAAAAGGCAGGGACGCTTTTCTGTGCTGCTGGCGATGGCTGTGCTTATGGTTGGGACTTGGTAAAGTATCATGTTTCCAACGAGCACTTTATGCAAATTCATGCAAGAGTTTACAGCACCTTACTTTCAGGAAACTGGACAAGGTTCAATGGTATTTCAAGGCCATGCCGGTTACTTGCACTGCATAGCGTCGAGACCATCTCAGAAACAGGTAATCAAACATGTTTATTCATCTGAATCTACATTCCTCCCAATGCAGTTAATCACGGGATCCGAGGATGGCACCTGCAGAATCTGGGGTAAGCTTTTGCGACAGAAACGAAAGATCACTGCTAAGTTGACGGCCTGTAGACTGTAGATCCGGCCGATGCACAGCAGTGTTGGATCCTTGGAATGTACAACGAGTGGCAAGAGCAAAATCCAGGCTCCCATGGGTGAGCTGTGTAGCAGTGGATGCTAGCGAGAATTGGATGGTAAGTTTCTCCATGCCTTGGCTTTGTTTCATACTTGTTTGTTTTTGCTTGCAAAAGGCGTGTGGGACTGGAGGAGGATGTGTAACGCTTTGGAACTTGCCAATGGTAGCAGCAGCAACGAGAATAACGACCGCTGGAGCACCGCAAGACGTGGCCTTCACCACGGACGAGGTCAGCTTTTGATTTTAAAAACGAATGAGAGTTTTGATAAGCTTTTGGTAGATCTTTCGATCTTTTGATAAACTTCTGATAGGTAGATCTTTTGAAAGATCTTTGACTGATAGAAAAATGATCTTTTATATGACAGATTGTGGTCGTCGGTGTTCAACCGCATCTTTCTCGATTCACCTTTGGCGGGAAGCTTTCGTCCCAAGTCGCTTGCGCTCCATTGTCTTCCTTCGCCGTGTCACTCCATCCATCTGGAGTAAGTATCACTTTGTTTCTGTGCTTTCTAGGCTCGAGACAAAGAGCTAGAAAAGATTCTCACGACTTTTTCATTGCCTTTTGGAAACTTATACCCAGGTGACAGCTGTTGGTGGCCATGGCGGAATGGTGGATGTGATATCCAGCTATGGAAGCCATCTGTGTACTTTTAGCTGCTAGCTTGCAAAGTTCTAAGAAAATGCTTGGGACGTGTGAAAGAATCTGATGTTTTCTTCGTGTTTCCTGTTTTTATCGGCAATTGCTACTGACATCGTGCATGCTCTCTAGCAGAAAAGCATGAAACCAAGAGCCAGAAAAAAAAAACCCGACCGTGAAATCTATGCCAAGACCTGTTTGATCACACCATTTGCGGTAGTCTTTACGTTCCCCAGGAGCTGCGGCATGTAGCAGTCCTTGCCCTGCGCTGCCTCTATCCGGCGCCTGGGATCATACATATTCTCGTCACGTAAAGCCTGCAAGATGGCCTCTGGCGAGCACTCCCTGCACAAAACGTATAAACGCACAAGCCAGTGAGCAAGGAGAAAAGGAATGTGTGGACTACTAGGCCTACCTCTTGATGAGGATCCTGTAAAGCATTTGCAGTATGGGACAGAGCTCAACTGGAGCCACGGGCCGGTTACCATCTGGGTGCATCACGCTCAGGCTTGGTTGTCTGAGCAATTCATGAAAAGCTTCCACGGCTGACACTCCCTGCCAAAGTGAATTGAAGTTGGGTGAGTGTCTTCCAAAAGGAAAAGTATGAGAGATCTCACCTGTATCATGCCTTTGCCTTGGATGCTGTCTCCCATGTCGAGCCTGAGCTCCCCTTCCACGAGCTTCTGCCCATACCAGGCATTGCGTCCCTTTAGTAGAGTCACGTACGTGTCCGCCAGAAGAGGCCCGGCCAAGCGCTCGGGCTCCTCGGCCAGGAAGTGCGTGATGTAGATCATCTCCGACGTGCAATGCGCGAAGTAGACGGCCTTGCTCGTCGCGCTCTCGTTTGTCAGTGCGCCAACCATACCTGTGAGCGAGCCAAAGATTTTAGAACATTTCTTTCGTTTTCCAAACAAGAAACTAAGAACTTGAACACTAACCGGCACCAATTGCGTAGACGTTCTTCAAGCCTCCCATGACTTCATGAGTAACGAGGTCGCTGTTGTCCCACACCACAAAATGCGGCTGCCTCAGGAAACGAGCCAAAGGTTTCCTCCACTTCTCGGAGCCACAGATCCGGGCGTTTGCGTACTCCTTGTTGTAAACCTCCGCCGCGATGTTTGGTCCACCTAGATAAAGAATGTTCTCTAGAGGCACCTTGGCTACATAAAACAAAAGCATTGTCAGGCTAAAAGAATCACAAGACCTTTAAGAAAACAAATCTAAGAACTTAAGAGAGAAAGAAAACCACTTACTTGCTTCGCTGATCATCTGCGTTGGAGTGACAATGTGTGGCACGGGCGTGAGAGCTGCCTCGACTCCTTTTGATAGCGATATGATCACGGGCATGGTTCTTCTCTCTCGCCAGTACCTCCCAATCTCCTCAAACACTGGCCGGGTCTCCGTGGAAGGAAGGCTGTTGATGACAATGTCCGCGTCCCACACAGCCTCTTGCAAATTGGTGACCACCTTGAGGGGGCACAGCGGCGTATCCAGCATGTTGATGCAAAAGCCATCGCGCAAGATCTCGTCCGCGTAGAGCACTCGATCGCCCAATCGCCCCTCCACGTACTTGAGATAGGCGCACTTTTGGATGAGCCGCCGGAGCACGTCCTCCCTGGAATTGATGATCTCGAAGAGGTGCTGGGCGGATTTCTTGTCCACCGCCTTGCCCCCGCGCCGCCACACCCGGACCTGGACCAAATCCCTCAGGTGGCCGAAGGCGTCCTGGAGCATCGCCACGAAGACGCTGCCCCACGCGCCGGCTCCCACACCGACGATCTTGAGGACATCTCCGTCGGCCTTGCCGAGCAGCTCCCTGATCTCCGCCACGCGCTCCTCGAGCGTCTTGCCATTGCAGCTGTGGAACTTGGATGCCATTGTCGATGCGCCGCTGGAATGGATGGGATCCTCACGAAACCCTCATAGGCGAGCGCCCCGGGATGGAAATCGCGGTGAATTCCACTCGAAATATCGACCGATCTCGGCAAGAAGGCACTGGATCGAGGATCGGGAGGCACCGCTCGAGCAATGCCGATGAAGCAAACCTGGATTCGAGCGAGCGAGCGAGCGAAGGAGCGACGCCTGGCGATCTTCCTGCTGCCCTCGCCGAAAGAGAAATATATCTTGCGATAAAACCCCCAACAGGGGTCCGGTTTGCATGATCCCTGACACGTCACCATCGACAGTCCACGTGTGAAACAGCGTGGCGGCCAAAGAACTTCGGCGGTGCCGCCGCGTGGACGGCCGACTCGCTCGCCGGCATCACCGGTGTCCCGACCACTGTGCGCGGGCCACGTGTAGACAGCGCTCCACCTGCCATCACGAAATAAATGGGCGTTTTCTCCAAAGTGGTTGTGGCTTGGATGTTTAGCGCCGCGCCAACGGTGGCGCTGACTTGGTCAAGCCGCATTTTCCACCGAGAGTCACGAGACGAGGCGAAACCAAAAAAATGAGCTTTCGGTGCTCGAATAGATCTGGAGATGGAAAGAAAAATAGATCGCGAATTTGATTCGATGGCTTATAGAAAGAACTAAACTTACCAAGCGCCACGGTTCATAAAAATCTGGAGCTGACCGACCGGCTTCATTGCGCGCGCTCAAACAGAAGTTTTCGCTCGACATGGATCGGAAAGACGCGACGATAGCTTCCAAACGAATTTGGAGCTTGTCCAGGAAAATGAAATCTCTCAAACTATAGTCGTATTGATAGCAACTGCAAAAACCACGAACCAAGTCAGTCGCTCGGCTTTCACAAGCTTCAAGAGACTTACCGAGAAGAAAAGTTCGTGTTCTCGCAAAACGGATACTCCACCTCCCTGTGTTCTAGTTCATAAGTGCCAGTGGACAAAACTTCCACGGCCATAGCGTCCTGTTCTCGTCTCTCCTGGACTGTTTCTTCTCCGGCAAAACCTCAACCATAAAACCGAGCGCCTGATCTTGACCGACCGACCTTATAAAAAATGCCAGATTTTCCATATTCATCATCGCCGCTGAATTCCCTGAAAGCATTCATTCTGTCCAGTCGCCTTGAATCATCGCCATTGCTTGGGGTGCTCCTGTCGTTGCTGATGTTGTTGTTGTTGTTGTTGCTCTGTGAAGATCTTCCATGGTTAATGCGTCCAGTGTTAAAGCTCTGCGGTCGCTCGTTGTTGTTGCTAGTGCCCTGCGCTCTTCCGTTGCTGCTACTCTGCGCTCGTCCCAAGCTGCTGCGTTGCAATGGCCCATTGCTGTTGCTCTGCCCGTTGTTTCTGCCCTGCGATCGTCCAAAATTGCTGCTTTGCACTGGACCATTGTTGTTGCTCTTTGGTCGTCCAAAGTCTAATGGTCCACTGTTGCTTTTCTTCTCTGGAATCCTGTAGCTGATTGGCTCCGGTTCTGGCAACTTATATCTAGCAGGCTTCGGTGATCCAATCTCTTCCAAAGCCGGACCTGAAAGATGAGAACCCGACTGTGACTCCACTCTGCTCTCAGTTCGTGAGTCCTCGGTCGCCCGAGACGAGCAACGTTCTGCGACTTCGTCTTTCTCAGGCTTTACAGAAGAGCCCCATACTGCTGGGCCAGAGAGATAAACAAACATGTAAGTCTAGTGAAGAAACGAAGTTACCAACCTGATGGGAATTGAAGACGTGGTTCCGAGGGTCTAAATGCTTGAGGATACTTGGAGTCTCCAAGTCTCTTCTTCATCTGGTGCTCGAAATACATCTTTTGGATGTATGGATTCGGACTGACGTCCTCCCTCAAAATTAAATTGGTCTGCCTCATTGCCTGCGTGCTCAGATTATTCTCTGCCTCGTTAAGTCTCTCAACCTGGAGTGAATGAATTACGAATGAAAAAAAAAAAGCGAAAACGAAAGAAAGAAAATAGAAACTCGATCTTCCACTCACCTCTGCCTTCAAAAACTTATAGAAACCCCCAATCTCTTGTGACTCGGACCTCCATCTCGCAGGTGGTGCAACAATATCCATGTCTAAAATCACCAATGCGTTAGGAGGGAGAAGAATACCACACACAGGCCTCGCAAAAGCAAAGACAAGCAACCATAGACCTGTGAGAGATGACAACGAGTCAAGAATGAGCTCTCAATTGCCTAAAAATTGAATCACACAAAAAAAAACTAGCAATTTCTTCTTCGCGAATCGCGACGACGATCCAAGCCAACTCTAGAGGTGTGGAGACACACATCTGAAACGCGTAACATACCTCGCGATTATCCTCCCGCGAAGAACACGAGCTCGGCGTCTAAAAACCCTAGCTTGCCTTCTTCATCTTCGGTGGGCGTGGCGTTACATTTCCTAGCGAGTTAAACTCTAACACGTGGAATCTTTTGGCGGGAAGAAAATCAAAACTCGAGATGGCGCCCAAATTTCACCTAGGGTTGGAGCGATGGAGGGCAAGCTCAAGCGCCTTCGCAAGGTACGCCAGGAAACTTCTATCGCCGGCTTTGACGAGCGACACGATTGTTCTTCAACTGGTGGCGTTGATCTGGGATTGGAGCGAGCTGCTGTAGACATAGAGCTTGGATCCGAGAAGAATGCGGATTTGGAGGGGCATAGGGATTCTACGGGCGATGCTAGACCTGGTGACGGTATGGATTTCGGCGGTCCTGGAAATTTGGATTCAAATGGGAGCTTGGAAGGTGGTAGTGAGTCAGAGTCGTCGAAGAACAGTTTGGATGCCTGGAAAAAAATCGCCAAGAAGAGCAAGACAGGCGAAGCAGTCTCCGAAGACAATCCTGCGAGATCTGGCATGGGTCACGAGGATTTGGATCCGACTGGGAGCGACAATGACTCAGAGACGTCTAGAAACAGTTTGGATGAGCTACTTTCCGATGGCATCGTCACGAAGAAGAAGCGAAAAGTTTTCGCAAGAGAGCGCCAGGCGGAGGAGCTACTCTCCGACGGAATTGAGAACGAGCCTGCAAGATCTGGCGTGGGTAATGGGAGCTTTAGTGGCTCAGAGTCGTCTAAGAACAGTTTGGATGAGCTACTCTCCGATGGTGTTGTTACCTCGAGCAAAAAGAGAAAAAGGATAGCCGAGCCTGAGAACAAGCCTATTGATGCTCACAGCCTTCAACCTTCTTCGAGTTTGCAGGATGATACGAAACATCGGGTTAGGAAGGTGCATATTTTTCTTTCTGTGTTTTTATGATTTAAAAGTTCTGATTTCTTTCAGGTCACCAAGAAGGAGCTTGACGAGATGCATGCAGAGTCGCAAAGATTGCTACGAGGTAAGCATTTTCTTACATCTACTAGTTAATCAAATGTTTTTATAGAAACAAGGGAAGCGGCCTTTGAAGCAGCTCCTGTTGTTGAAGTTCCTATGTCTGGGCTCTTATCCAAATTACGACAGAGGAAAATTCAACTGGGATGGAAGTCAGCGTATGCTTTATAAAAATTATTGCGTTGTTCTTGTAACATGTCAGCAATGCAGGAGTAAGTTGAAAGTAAGTCATCAAAACGACGTTGATGTGGGGCATGATACGAGCCAGCTCCCTACGATCTCAACAAGTTACTGTGAAAACGAGGATGAATGTTCCGGAATGAATAAAGTTCTAGAGGATACTAGTTCTAGTAAGGTCAGTTGCGTATTCCTGCATGCGATTGCGTCTAACATGGATGATTTTCAGGAATCTCCTGTAAGATGCAGCAACGCTTTCAGACAGCCTTTAGAAGATACTCAGGTGTGTGAATTTCGACAACTTTCAAGATCTCGCTAACAGACCCGTTTCTCCTCGTAGGATCTCTTTCCGGACTCCCAAGCTCTGGACTATATTCTCGCAGGAAGTCAAGATAACTACAATGGAGGGATCCACTTGGACTTGCATATGACGGAAAGTCAAGATGAAGCTCTTGGGACTACTGAGACCGTCGAAGCCTTCCCTGTGAAGCCTCCAATCATGGCACTTATAGATGACGAAGCTGAAGCTGAGGATGAGGACCTTATCCTTCATAACAGTGAGGAGGACGAAGGAGATGACAGTGCCGAAGTCCTCGAAATTATTGATCGTTCAGCAGAGGCGGAAGAGCCTCTGGATAATGGCAGACGTGCCGATCTTCATCGTCAGTGGCTAGAACAACAAGATGAAGCTCAGACCGACAGCATCTTGTGGAGGATTCAAGGATCATCAAAGCAGACGGAGTATACAGCCGAGATTTCTTCGTTTCTGGATGCCGACGATTCAGATCCACAAGAGTTGTCACGGGGGACTTCGGTGAAACTGAAAGAAACAAAGGAAGCTGCGCCGCCTCCATCTATCGGTCTTGAATTTTTGGAAGAGGACATGCAAATATATCACGAGTCGTCGGACGACGAAGAAACAGAGCGTACAATTTTACGGCAACGGCTGCTCGAAACTGCTGTAAGAGTGAAGTATGCCTCCTCTGAACATGTCAACTTACATATCTCTGTTTTCAGGAGAGGCAGGAACTGTTTATGTCTCCTGCTGATGATGAATCGTCAAGGGAGGTTCTGGGCATCATAAAGAAAGCAAACGTTTCTCATAGTACTACGAAGAGAAAGTCTGCTCAACAAGGTTCTTATTTCATTCCTATATATGTTTTCACATAACATAAAACTCTTCCACAGAAACGTGTGCCTCTGTTTGTAAGTCTAAGGTAAAATTACTGGTTCCCTCTCATCTAGTCGTAACAAACTTTTGGTGCCGCAGTCAATATTTTCGAACCGGTCGACGTCGAATTCGTCATTGCTCAAGCAAACCATATGTACAAACTCGAAGTCGTTCATATTTGGACGTGATGACAGTAGCAGCCTCTCCGGTTTTCCAGTTGCCGCACAGGTGTGTAACTTCCCACTTGCCACTCCTAGCATTGACGTCTTCCCTCCACAGCACACCGTTAACAAAGAAACCGCTGCTCCAAAACCAATAGAACAGAGAGGCCCCTCATTGTTCTCAATTCTCAAGCAGCAACAGACGGACCACCCGAGGCCGGGAGAGAGGATTGTAATGGCGGACAAGCTCTCCATCTTTGGCAAATTCCCCAAGAGAAAAGGGAAGTACTAGACGATTTACCAAGAAAAAGATTTCCAAAAGGTACCAAAATGTCTCTTTTACTTTCAATTGATTGTCCAGAAAATGTGCAACCAGTTAGACCTTTCCATTCCCCACAGCAGCGCAATCATGTAGTGGTTCTTCAAATATTTACTTTCCAAGAAGCGAAAAATTATAAAGGGTTATGGGCGCTAGATGTTTTATACTAAGATTAATGTTAAGCTCTATAATCGAGTTTTGGTTTGCTGATGATAGTGAATATACTTAAAATATGCTTGGATATTCTAAAATATTTAAAACTGTTGCTATTCATTTAGATTAATCTTGTATTTATAATTTATAAACATGTTTATAATTTATAAACTTTCTTAAACCCTTTCTAGTATATTCTTTTTTATTCTATCATCTAATGGTTGATATGTAGTAAGAGTGTTTACAAATTACAAACATGCTTATAATTATAAACTTTATTTGATCAATTGGATTAATAAGTAATAATAAAACTACTATTAAGCAAACCAAACATTGCTACATGCAATGTGTAGCAATTTTTTATTTTTTATAACGTTCAATATTTTATCTCTATTTTATTTCAGTTATTGAAAAAGACTATTCACAATTTTTTTTTTTTTTATGGTTGAGATCTTATACTATAGTGATTTAAAGTTTAAAATATCTTAAACATTTTTACTTTTTAACATTACAGCCAAGCTTCCACATCTATGTAGGGACAATCTTGCCACAATATAAAATGTTTGTGTTCATTCCACTTTGGATTGGTGGCCAGACTAATTTATCAATTGGGTTTTATTTATTTATCTTTTATAAAACCATAGAGTTTAATTTTGACATGCTTGAAATCGGAAAAGAGCAAATGAAGGGGTGAAAGGGACAAAGCTAAATTAGAACTTGAAACCATGACTATTCTGGTCCATATGGTTGAAGTTTTGAGGGGGAATCCAAGGGACTTAGGGAGGTACATGTTTTATTGTTCTTGGACAAGTGTTGCTAAACCTATAGTGGTGGTTTTCATGTCCATTCATCTTCGCTAACTTTGTTTTTATGTCTAAAGAATGGCTAGAGAGCTTGTTCTTTAGCAATCACTTTAGCTAGTTGATTTAGGGTGTAAGAAAGAATATTCAACATGGTGGATTTAGAGGGAGAACTAAAGTTTAAAAGGACTATGGTGACTAGAGGGTGGCTTTTTTATAGCTAATGAGTGGGGCAGAAACATTTTGCAAGAATATTTAACATGGTGGATTTAGAGGGAGAACCAAAGTTTGGTAGACCCTAAGAGAAAAACTATGGTGATTGAAGGGTGGTTTAAGTATGATTGCAAATGATCATTCTCTGGCAAAGGGAGGATTGTTAGGTACCAAGTCAAAATAATAGGATAAAGAAAGGGTCCTACAATCAAGTGATCACCCCTTTAGCCAGTTGGTTTAGGGTGTAAGGGATAGGATAACACTGGAGGGTGTATTCCATGGCAGTCCAGTGCAAATTTTATTGGATAATGGGAGTGATGACAACTTTGTTTCAGTAAAATTTGTTGAGGAGCATGGCCTGGTGACACGAAGAGTTCTTCTATACATAGTGGAAGGTGCAACTACTTCTACTCATCATTTTGATACTTATGTAAAGGGACTAGCATTATTGGTTGGCAAAACCACACTTGTTGAGATTTTTTATCTTGTAGATATCCATCATGTGGATCTTATTTTTAAGATGCCATGGTTGATCCAAAGATAAAGTGGAGTGTTAAGCGTGTCTTACTAGACTACAATGGCATTAAAGATGTATGGTTTGGAAAGGGAATTCAACCTTTAGTTGTTATGCTTTCTACTACATTTTTTAAGTGGGTTTGTTGTAATGGAAAAACAATTTTGAGTTACTTGCTATTTATTTGTGACTTGGGGGACCAAGGCATGTGTGGTGGAGAAGCAGCAGAATATGATGTATTTGACGAGTTTTCTAATATTTTTCCATTTACACTTCCTCATGGTTGCCTCCATTACGAGGTATGGAGCATGGGATTACGTTGAAATCGGGGACACAACCAATTTAACAGTGTCCATTTCAGTTGAGTTATGTAAAGGAGCAAGAAGTTCAACGATAAGTTAAAAAGTTACTTGAGTTTGGATTTATTTAGCCAAATAAGTTTCCATTTAGTGTTTTGGTCTTTCTTGTGAAGAAGAAAGATGGTTCAATATAGATATACATTGACTAT